AAAAAATTAACAGTAGTTAATTCAATGGAGAATGAAAGAAGAATAGATCTTGAAGAGCACGGAGGTAGATTTTAATTTTTTTTTTTTTTTAATTTTTTTTTTCAACGTTTATTTATTTTTGGGACAGAGAGAGACAGAGCATGAACGGGGGAGGGGCAGAGAGAGAGGGAGACACAGAATCGGAAACAGGCTCCAGGCTCTGAGCCATCAGCCCAGAGCCCGACGCGGGGCTCGAACTCACGGACCGCGATATCGTGACCTGGCTGAAGTCGGACGCCTAACCGACTGCGCCACCCAGGCGCCCCAGATTTTAATTTTTTTAAATAAATTTTATTTAGTTCTAATTTACATACAATAAAATTCATGCATTAAAAATACACTTTCTTGAGTCTTGATTAATATATATGTTTTGTGTAACCAACAAATCTTCTGGAATTTCATATAAATGAAGTCATATGGGGGGCGCCTGGGTGGCTCAGTCAGTTAAGCGTCCGACTTTGGCTCAGGTCATGATTTCACAGTTTGTGAGTTCAAGCCCCGCGTCGGGCTCTGTGCTGACAGCTCAGAGCCTGGAGCCTGCTTCAGATTCTGTGTCTCCCTCTCTCTCTGCCCCTAACCCACTCGCATTCTGTCTCTGTCTCTCTCAAAAATAAATAAATGTAAAAAAAAAAAAAAATGAAGTCATATGGTATGTATGGGGCTGGCTTTTTTTGTTTGGTACAATATTTTCGAGATCGATCTATGTCATTATGGGTATTAGTACTTCAAATCTTTTTATTGCTATTACTGAGTTTAGTTTGAGGCTATTTATTGCTATCCTTCTTAATACTGTTGAATATCCATATGACAGTATTTCACTATATGGATACACCACAATTTGTTTATCCATTCTCCTATTGATGGACATTTGGTATTTTCTTTCAGTTTTTGGCTATTTTATTAAAAAAAATTTTTTTTTAACGTTTTATTTATTTTTGAGACAGAGAGAGACAGAAAATGAACAGACACAGAATCGGAAGCAGGCTCCAGGCTCTGAGCCATCAGCCCAGAGCCCGACGCAGGGCTTGAACTCACGGACCACGAGATTGTGACCTGAGCTGAAATCGGCCGCTTAACGAACTGAGACACCCAGGCGCCCCTTTGGCTATTTTAAACAAAGCTGCTATGAACATTTTCCTTTTTGGGGATCTATGTTTTGTTTTTAGTTTAAAAAAAAATTTTTTTTTTTTTACATTTATTCATTTTTGAGAGACAGAGAGACAGAGTGTGAATAGGGGAGGGGCACTGAGAGACACACACAGAATCTGAAGCAGGCTCCAGGCTCTGAGGTGTCAGCACAGAGCCTGATGTGGGGCTGGAACACACAGACTGTGAGATCATGACCTGAGCTGAAGTCAGACACCCCACCCACTGAGCCACCCAGGCGCCCCGACTGTGGGTCTATGTTTTAATTTCTCTGGGGTAAATATTTTGGAGTGGAATGATGGGTTATGTGATAAATGTATGTTTAACTTAAAAAAAATTTTTAAAAATGTTTATTTATTTTGAGAGGGACAGAGCGCGTGCACGCGAGGGAGCGCATGAGCAGGGGAGGGGCAGAGACAGAGGGAGACACAGAATCCCAAGCAGGCTCTGTACTGTCAGCACAGGGCCCGATGCAGGGGTCTATCCCATCAACTGGGCACTTAACCAACTGAGCCATCCAGGTGCCCCCCTCCCCATCCCCACCCCCATCCCCGAGTCAAAGCAGTTTTCTTTCTTTCTTTCCAATGTGTATACTTGTATTTCTTTTTCTTACCCTATTGTAATGACGAGGACCTTTAGGATGATAATTAACAGAAGTGGTGAGGACATAAACTTGCCTCGTTCTTCACTCGTTCTTGATCTTAGCAGAAAAGCATTCAATATTTCATCAGTAAGCATGATGTTAGTTGTAGGGTTTTTACAGATGTCCTTTATCACACTGAGGAATTCCCTTTCTATTCTTAGTTTGGTAAGAGTTTTTATGAGTACTGAAGTTTTTCATATTCTTTTTTCTGCTTCTGTTGGGTTGACTATGTGCTTTTTCTTTATAACGGAACCTTAAATTCTTTGGAGTAAATCCCAGTTGGTCATGATGCAGTCTCTTTTTTTACACATGGTTGGATTTGATTTGTTAGTATTTTGGTAAGAATTATTGCTTATGAGGAAATATTGGTCTACAGTTTTCTTATAATATCTTTGGTTTCAGCATCAGGGTAAATGATTGTCTCATAAAAATTAGTTGGGAAATATTTTTACTACTTATTTTTTTATTTTTGAGAGAGAGACAGAGCACGAGCAGGGGAGGGACAGAGAGAGAGAGGGATACACAGAATCTGAAGCAGACTCCAGGCTCTGAGCTGTCAGCACAGAGCCTGACGGAAGGCTCGAACTCAACAACCCTTGAGATCATGACCTGAGCTGAAGTCAGACGCTTAACCGACTGAGACACCCAGGTGCCCCTTCCTCTTCTATTTCTCAGAAAGCTTGCATAAGATTTATATTATTCCTTCCTAAAATGTTTGATCAATAATGAAGCCATCTGGGCCCGGAGTTTTCTTTGTGGGAAGGTTTTCAGGTATGAAGTCAATTTCTTTAATAGTTATAGGACTATTCAGATTTTCTATGCCTTCTTGAATACTATTAGGTAAGTTTTTGCACATTAATGACCATTTCATTTAAGTTATCGAATTTTTTGGCATAAAGTTGTTTACAATACAGAGATGTGGACTTTTACTTTTCGTTTTATCCCCTTCTACACTCTGAATATTTTTTTTTTTAATTTTTCTTAACGTTTTATTTATTTTTGAGACAGGGAGAGACAGAGCATGAACAGGGGAGGGTCAGAGAGAGGGAGACACAGAATCCGAAACAGGCTCCAGGCTGCGAGCTGTCAGCACAGAGCCCAACGCGGGGCTCAAACTCACGGACCATGAGATCATGACCTGAGCCGAAGTCGGCCGCTTAACCGACTGAGCCACCCAGGCGCCCCAACACTCTGAATATTTTGAAAACTATATGAAGGTGCCTGAAGTTGAAAAATGTTGGGAAGTGGCGAAAGTAATGTTAAATGATTATAGTTAAATGCAAATCTTCTGTTATTTATTTTTTATTTATTTATTTTTATTAAATTTTTTTTTCAATGTTTATTTATTTTTGGGACAGAGAGAGACAGAGCATGAACGGGGGAGGGGCAGAGAGAGAGGGAGACACAGAATCGGAAACAGGCTCCAGACTCTGAGCCATCAGCCCAGAGCCCGACGCGGGGCTCGAACTCACAGACTGCGAGATCGTGACCTGGCTGAAGTTGGATGCTTAACCGACTGCGCCACCCAGGCGCCCCAAGGGCACACTTATCTTGATGAGCAGTGAGTAATATATGGAACCGTTGGCTCACTATATTGTACACTTGAAACTAATACGACACTGCATGTTAGTTAACTACACTGGAATTAGAATAAAAAAAAATATGATAATTGGTGAAGTCACAAAGGAGGTAATATTTGAGCAGATATGTGAATGTATCAGTTTGCCAAATTGACAGGCCCGGGGGAAAGTGTTCAAGATAGTAGGTTTAAGCGCAAGTAAGTGTTTGAAGAATATGAAGAACAGAATTCCGGAATGAGAAATAGTTGAGGATTACTGAAATTTTAAGTGAAAGTTTGCTGTTTTTATTTTTGTCTGTTTTTTTATCTTAAATATTTTCCTATGGTTCTAATATCAAGCCATATTTTAAAAAAATTTTATGTTATATATGTTTTAAATATATATTTTTTCGATTGATAGACGTTCATGTTGTTTCGTAGTTTTCACTATTACAAACAATGCTGTAATAAACATTGTCCCTACTTTTCTGCACATGTAAGAATGTCTCTAAAATAAGTATTAGTGGATTTACTAAACTGAATGTTATTTACAATATTTTGACCAATTCTGCTAAATTTCACTTCATTCTTGGTGCCAGTATTTGACAGTAGCTGATTTCCCACATCCTTGACAGGGATACATCATAAGGCTTTTTGAATTTTAAGATTATCCCTTAGCTAAGTAGACAATTAAGGACCCATTTTCAACCAGTCAAGATAACGAAGTGGTTAAGACCACTCTTGTATTGTAGTCACAGTTGAGTCCATATCTTGGTTTTGACATTTGCCATCCACGTTAAACAGTTTCTAAGCGATAGTGTTGAGGCAAGTTTACCTGTGGAGTGTACAAGAAACATATTTATGGAAAGAATTCAGTTGGATTTATCATTATAGGACTGGGAGCAAATGGCGGGCATTAAATAACAGTTCATCATTCTTCGCGAATTTGTCAGGAATTGAGGGTCCCATTTAAGAGTTTAAGAGGTTCACATTTTCCAGAAAGATAACCAGAATGCACATCGGAAGTGCGGCAAACTATTTCAACAAGTGCTTTTAATCCGAGATTAAAAGGTGCTATCAGGCAACTCATCAGGCTGCGCATTTTAAACGTTGAGACGCTGGAGGATTAAAATCCACCACGTCTACGACTGGGTCATACATTTACCATAGGTATCCAGTTTGAGATTACCGACGGGCAGATACCCCTTTTTTGCCAGGAAACTACGGCTAAATAGTGACTTCTGTCAGAAAAAAAATCCTCCAGATTCCAACACAGTCCGCCTCCTTCCTAAGCACTGCGGGCACCTGCCAGCCGCAAGATGGCGATTACCCCCAACCACCTTTCCGAAACGGAGATTTCCATAACGCGAATCGCCGCGCCCTGGAAAGGAAGTTTTGCCATTACCCAAGATGGCGAACTGCGCAGCTTCACGGTTTCCAGCTTTCAATATGGCTTCCCCAACCCGCACCACCGGAGGTTAATCTCAGGAACCAAACTAAACTCGCGCGGAAGTAGCGTCAGCGGAAGTTGCGCCTGGCCCAACTTCCCACCCCCCCCTACGCCCGCCCCCGTTCCTACGCCCCGCCCCCGGTGGCGCGGAGTGCAGAGCCAAGATGGCGGCAGAGTTGGAGTACGAGTCTGTTCTGTGTGTGAAGCCCGATGTTAGCGTCTACCGGATCCCTCCCCGGGCCTCCAACCGCGGTTACAGGTACTAGCCCCGAGGCTCTGCAGTACACGCATACCGGGTCGGGGATGACAGTGTCCTCCTCAGGTGGCACGCTGCGAGTCCCCGCCACTGCCACCTCTGAGTTGTCACTTTGCTAGCCTCCCCACCAGGGTTGTTCTCGCCCCGTCCTCCTGTTCTTTTCCCACTGTGGCATGCCAGCCTGGTTTCCGCCGCTTAAAAAAATTTACCATCTGCGTCTTCCCACGCCTCCTCCCTTGGGCCCCTCGGGGTTACCCATCTGCTCCCCATCATACCCATCCCGTCGTGCCTGCTCCATCGCCTGTCACCTTTGGTTCGTTCTTTCTTGCGTCCTTCGGTTTCTCCTCCTCGTCGTACCCCCTCCTGACCTCCCTGTCTCTCATAAACATTTCCAGTACCCCGTGCATAATGGTGGGTAATCATCGTGTCGGCCGCTCTCTAGGTGATACGATTTAATCTTTTGTGCCAGTCTTGCCACCAAGCATGATCCGCCGTTTGGTTTTCCTTTCACTTTTTTGCTAGTGGCAAAGGTTATGATGGTAGGTTTTCCAGTGGTTGTCCATTCTGTTTTTTTTTTTTCCAGTACATTTTCTTGATGATTACATGGTATTTTCTATTTTCCTTTCCTCCCTTCTTAATCTCTCTTATAGCCTTTCTCTCCAAAGTTAATGCAGCATTTTCTCTGTAGGGCTAACCAACCGCCTTGTGATCGCGTGTCGGTGAGGTTCTGAGGATGCTCTAGGCAGTCATGAAGTCATGTAGTGGAAGGAGTTAACACGTTAACCGGGTTACATATTCAAAAATACGGGTATGAACCCTGACAGTTTAACAGCTGTATGATTTGGGACCAATCGCTTAATCTCTGCAAGCCTCAGTTTTCTCATCTGTAAAATAGGAAAAAAAAAGTGATCAGAAAACCTGCTCTGGTTCTGTACCTCAGAGAAGTTTTTGGAGGGTTACGTGACGTAATATAAGAAATGTGAAAAAATTTAGGAAACAGGAAAGCAGCATATTAAATACAAGGCACTGTTCTTACCCCTCTCTCGTCCACCTCACCATCATGATTTTCCTCTTGGCATTTATCATTGCTTTGGCTCTTGTCCTCCTCCTGTGGCCATTAGCTTGCCTCCTTACTGGGGTTTCATTCATCATGGATCACGCTCCTCCTGCTTGCTGACCTTTGCACTAGACGCTGTGGGTTGCACGTTTTGGCGGAGGTGGTCCTAATTCCAGTTTTTCAGTCAGGCCCCAAATCGACCACGAATAGGAATCTACGTGCTTTTCGATGGTAGTTACTGGTAGTGGTGTGTGAGTCAGCAGGGACATCTGGTGCTTTGGGCTTCCCGAAGGAGTGACCCTGCCATTCTGGCTTAGGTACGCTCTGTGCGGGCCTCCGTAGCACCACTGCTGATCTCTGTCCTAGTGCTCTTCCTTCTGTATTGTAATTGATTGTTCCGTCTGCTGTTTCTCCAGACTAGCTGTGAACGACTTGACGTCTTTTCTAAGTTTATAGTACCAGGGTCTAGTACAGTGTCCTGCACATAGCGGGCACTCTGTAAACTTGGGAGAAATTAGTAGATTCCACTTCATCACATAAATTAGCAGTGATTGAACTGTTCAGTAGTTAAGACTTCCGAAAGGGTATGATACATCATACAGTGGGGTTCTCTTCTCTTTCTTCTACTTTAAGCTTTTTCAGCGACCTTCCTCCTCTGACCCACCTGCATTCTCAACTTTCACTTTCTAGTTTATCCACAGCCTTTTATCTGCATGTCAGTTAACTGCACTGAGCCATCAAAACAATTTCTTAATTTTCCTCTATTTCTTGTTGTCTGTGTTTTCTATGCGTATTATTGACATTTCTTATCCTCAAGAGGCATTTTATCATTACCCACCCTTAGTATAGTGAGTGAAGAGAGCTGAACTAAGTGTGCATCGAGATTCCCATTTATTTGCTGGGTTACTCTTGGCAAGACACCTAACTCTTTTTAATTTTTTTTTATTTTTTAATTTTTTTAATGTTTATTTATTTTTGAGAGAGACAGAGATGGAATGCGAGTGGGTTAGGGGCAGAGAGAGAGGGAGACAGAATCTGAAGCAGGCTCCAGGCTCTGCGCTGTCAGCGCAGAGCCTGACGCGGGGCTCGAACTCACAAACCATGAGGTCGTGACCTGAGCCGAAGTCGGACGCTCAACCGACTGAGCCACCCAGGCGCCCCACACCTCTCTTGAACTGTAGTTTCCTCGTTTGTAAAAATGGATATCCTACTACTTACCTTGCAGTATCCTTTCACTTAATTTTCATAGGAATAGGCATAATGCTTGGCACATAATAGGTACTTGATAAATGTTACTTTTATGCCTTTTTGTCTGCCTAATCTTGTTTACAGAACCCATTTTACATTATGAGCATGACTTATTCTTTAGGCTGCCTTTAAAGGAAAAACTGGGATTTTTAGGAAGCAGGAGGAATACTTTGAGTGATTAGTAAGATTGAGGGAATGAATGACTTTGATTCACGTAGTGTAAGCTGTTGCTTCGCAGATTTTCTCTGACAATTTAGATCGATGAGAATGTTAGGAATGATTAGAAAATGGTTTCCCAACCTATGAAACTGTTGTCATATTCATCACTGCCCTTCCCCTCAGCTAAATCATTAGTAAACTCAATAGTCTGTTTTAATGTAATGAGAAGAATGCTGGACTTCGAAGTTAGGCATTACTTCCTGTGTTACTATTCGTCATTGAGATGGACAGAGATGGTAGGCTTTCCATGCCTATTCCAGATGGTTGCTGTAAGGGTTTATTACTGATGTCAATGAAAATTTGTGAAGTCAGTTCAGAAGACCAGCGAAACCAAGAGTTCCTCGGGCTAGGTCTTGGGAATGGGAAAAGAACTAAGGCTCAGGGCTGAGGGAAATTGCTGCTGGGGATATCCATTCACTTACTGAGGATTTGTTAAATATTGGCCACTGGACACGCAAGATAAATAAGCCAAGGAACCTGTCCCAGGAAACACATCTAGTAGGCTTGTTCCTGATATATTCAGTACACAGTGTTTAGCTCATGGTGTGATGGTAGAATAAGTAATGACTCCTTAAAAAAAATTAAAACTCGGGGACCTTTAGAGCATTATAGTGTGGATCAGATTCAAGTACTTGAGGCACCGCATTAAGAGATGAGGGCGTGACAAGGATTTATAAATCCTGTTCAAAACCTGTGCTAATTTTCATTTTTTTTTTCCTTTCCACCTTTGCTTCTTGTTTAGATATATTTTATTGTTACCTTTCTGCCTTGCAAGTATTAGTGTTCAGGTTTCTGAGGGATGAGGTTTTTTACTTAAAGATTTTATTTATTTATTTTTTAATTATTATTTTTTAAAGTTTATTTATTTTTGAGACAGGGAGAGACAGAGCATGAACGGGGGAGGGTCAGAGAGAGAGGGAGACACAGAATCGGAAGCAGGCTCCAGGCTCTGAGCCATCAGCCCAGAGCCCGACACGGGGCTCGAACTCACGGACCGCGAGATCGTGACCTGAGCTGAAGTCGGACGCTTAGCCGACTGAGCCACCCAGGTGCCCCAAAGATTTTATTTTTTTAAAATTTTTATTCTTTTTGAGAGACAAAAAGAGAGGGAGCATGGGATAGAGGCAGAGGGAGAGAGAGAATCCCAAGCAGGCTCTGCCCTCAGTGTGGAGCCCCATGCGGGGTTCGATCTTGTGACCGCGAGATCGCGAATGCAGCTGAAATTTAGAGCCTGGTGCTCAACTGACTGAGCCACCAAGGTGCCCTGAGATTTTATTTTTATGTAATCTCTGTACCCAACACGGGGCTTGAACTCACAACCTCAAGATCAAAAGTCACATGCTCTAGGGATTGAGCCAGCCAGGTGCCCCATGATGAGTTGCTTAATAACTTTTACTTTGCCCTCTCTTTTCCACACGCTGACAAAAACAAACTCACAAATTCAGAGCTTTGTAAAATTGGTCATATTTAAATAATGTCTTAGATTTCCTTCAAATTCATGTATCACACAGATTATAAGTATTCAGTGTTTTGTAATGTTTCCACGGACATCTGTATCTCTAGCCCACATGTTTTTCCTGAACTCCTGACTCATATTCAAATGCCTTCTCTGTATCTTCACTTGAGAAATCAATTTGACGTCTCCAACTCAACATATTCAAAACTGAACTCCTGAGCTTCTCAGACATGCTCTACCTATAGCCTTTCTGTCTCAGTTATTGGCAGCTCCTTTGCTCAGGCGAAAAACTTCAGCGTCATCCTTGACTCCTCCTACCTCACATTCAGTCCTTTAGAAAACCCCATTTCTTTGCTTTAAATGTATCTAGAATCTAGCCGCTTCTGCTCCTGTCCCTTCCTAGTCACCGTCATGACTCCTGGATTGTGGTGGTAGTCTCTTAACTATAATCCCCCTGCTTCAGGATTTACATTGCTTCTACGTACAACAGACAAGGTGATCCTTTTAAAGTCAAAGGAAGATCATGTTTCACCTCTGCTTAAAACTGGTACTGGCTCCTTTTTCACTCAGTAAAAGCTAAAGTTCGTACGAGGCCTATAAAATTTGCCCCTCTGTTACCTCACCCCCACCTCATCTCTTACTTTATTCCAGCTGCAGTGGCTTTCTTTTTGAGGGCAAGCATTCCAGGTACATTCGCACCTTAGCACCTTTGCACTAATTGTTTCAAACCTGGAGCTCCTCCCCCCCCCCCATATCTGCATGAGTAACTCTCTTGCTTCCTTCACATTTTTGCCCACATTTCACCTTGTTTAAAAAAAAAATTTTTTTTTTAATGTTTATTTATTTTGGAGAGAGACAGAGACAGAATGCGAGTGGGTTCGGGGCAGAGAGAGAGGGAGACACAGAATCTGAAGCAGCTCCAGGCTCTGAGGTGGCGGCACAGAGCCCGACATGGGGCTCGAACTCAGGAGCTGCGAGATCATGACCTGAACTGAAGTCAGACGCTCAACCAACTGAGCCACCCAGGCGCCCCTCGTTTCACCTTGTCAATAAGGCCTCCCCTGACTACCCTCTTGAATGCCGCAGCCTGTTTACTCTCCCACTACCCTCCCGATTTCCCTTTTCTGTTTCTTCATTTTCTTTCTGCTTTAGCACTTACCATTTTCTGAGATACTAATTATTTTACTAATTATTTACTTGTTTATTTTTTATTGTCTATTTTCTATTAGAATATAAACCTCACGAGGGTAGGAGTCTTTGTTTTGTTCATTCACCTAGAACAGTGCCTGTGACTTAATATGCATTCTGTAAGTATTGGTTGAATTCAGTGAAAGATGATAATACATTTAGGGATTTGGGAAGCCTTCTGTTACCCAGTATAGTTCATTCAGTAGACTCTGTTATTACTTGATCAGTAAAACACTATTATATAAAATATCATCTGCAGTGTGGCAGTATAGTACCATTATGAGAGTTAGTTTTAATTGCTTGTATTTGTACTTTTACGTGTTTTTATTGATGCTTCTTAGACTCCAGAATTCTTAAGGAGTAACACTGTCTTTTGTTTGCTTTGGATTATATGTCATATGAGGCATCTGGGCAGCAGGGATCATGAGTTATTCTTGTTAATTATTTAATAGGTAGAGTAAGCAAGAAGGGAAATAGAAATACGGCAAATGATTGTGTGTAGGTTTTTCGTAATAAAAGCCATAGACTTGAGGCTTCCTATTTTCCCGTCCTAGGGCATCTGACTGGAAATTAGACCAGCCTGATTGGACTGGCCGCCTCCGAATCACTTCGAAAGGGAAGATTGCTTATATCAAGCTTGAGGATAAAGTTTCAGGTAATCTGTGCTGGTGACCCTCTAACATATTAAGGGTATTAGTTTGGTGTGCCTTTTCTTTTCCTTTTTCTTTTTTTTTTAATGTTTATTTATGTATTTTGAGAGTGAGAGAGCGAGCAGGGGAGGGGCACAGAGAGAGGAGAGAGAGAGAGAATCTCCAGCAGGCTCTGAGTTTTCAGCGCAGAGCCCAACACGTGGCTTGAACCCACACACCATGAGATCATGACCTGAGTCGAAATCAAGAGTCAGATGCTTAACCGACTCAGCCACCCAGGCACCCCATTTTTGGTGAACTTTTATAAATACATTTAAGTTGGAGACTGGAATGGAAATATTTGTTAGAGTTTTAGATTTTTGCTTCTTTAGCTCAAGGAAGTCCTTTTCTTACCTGTTAGGGGAGCTCTTTGCTCAGGCACCAGTAGAACAATATCCTGGTATTGCTGTGGAGACAGTGACAGATTCCAGCCGCTACTTTGTAATCCGGATCCAGGATGGTACTGGTAAGGGATCTGGGATTTTGAATGGGTGAGATTAGGAAAATAGGTAATGCCTTTCAATAAAGCGCGTCTCAGTTGCATTTATCTTAACTTCAGTTTACTACATTTTTTCACCCCTTGCTCCATAGTTAACTATGGTTGCTAAAGGACAAGGATTAACATGTTGTTTGTAATAAATAAAAACAAGTTCAAGATATGATAATTAATAGGTGGATATAAATAAATGTCTATCCAACCAAAGAATTCATACATATTGCCCACTCATTCATTGTTTGTGGTGGGTTTTGGTGGGACTGTCTTAAATCATCTATGTCTAGGGCATTTTCTATTTTTTCTCCATAGTCTATATCAGAGGTGGGCAAACTTTCTGGAAAGACAGATGGTGAATATTTTAGATTTTGCAGGCCAAATGGTCTCTACTGTAGCTACTCAGTTCTGCTGATGTAGTATGAAAGCAGCTACAGATAATATGTAAACAAATGGGAATAGCTGTGTTCCAGTAAAATATTATTTTTTTTTGTAATTTTTTTTTTTTTAACGTTTATTTATTTTTGAGACAGAGAGAGTGAGCATGAACGGGGGAGGGTCAGAGAGAGAGGGAGACACTGAATCCCAAACAGGCTCCAGGCTCTGAGCGGTCAGCACAGAGCCCGACGCGGGGCTCGAACTCACGGACCGCGAGATCATGACCCGAGCCGAAGTCGGCCGCCCAACCGACTGAGCCACCCAGGCGCCCCATTATTGACAAAAACAAGTATGGCAGCATTTGTCTCTTGGGCAATACGTAGGGTGTGGACCCCAGGGCTGTGAGAAATGTTTCACATTCACAGACTTTATCTAGTTAAGGTAACTGTTAATTTTCATTGGGTGGAATTTTCCCTAAGGGACACTTCCTGTTCTGAGTATTCCTGTCTTTTTCACAGGGCGTAGTGCTTTCATTGGCATTGGCTTCACAGATCGGGGTGATGCCTTTGACTTTAATGTCTCCTTGCAAGATCATTTCAAGTGAGTGATTCTTGTCCTTAACCGAGTTAAACCTTGGCTAAGTTAACCCTGAACCAAGCTAAAGGGTTTTGGAAATGCTCCTCCTCAGTTGAATGGATACTACCTCTTTTACCTGCTGGTTTCTGTATTTGATGAACTAGTTTGTTACGAATTTGAATCTTCCCATTCACTGTTTCCTTACATCATCTTTGTGTCTCTTCTGTCCTTTCCTTATAGCCCAGGATATGTTTTTGGTCCTCTGTACGGTGTTTTGAGATGATGCTTTTGCCTATGCCTCTGGAGGAATTGACATTTGCTCTCTTAAGTGGCCGAGGGAGGCATATAGTCACAGCAGGACTGTATGTGAGAGAGGAGGAGTTACGTGCCAGTTTTGTTGCTTTGTGTAGCTGACGTGTTGTATGTCTCCTGCAACGACATTGCTTCAGTTTTGCCACAGCTGTGGTGGACAGCGCCATGCACTGTCAGCTTCCTACTTCAAGGGCAGGCATAAGTCTGCTTTTCTGCCTCAGAACTCTGAAATTGTGGAAGCGCACTCAGTTGGCACAGGGATGCAGCCCGGAAGGATGGAGGAATTAACGTCCCCTCAGGGGCAGCCCTCACCCGTGGCGGGTGGAAATTGGCGGCTAAATGCCCTCCTTTGGAGGGACAAGTTAAATATGCATTCTGAATGGCTCCTCGGTGGTGTTGAACCCTGTTGCCCTGTTTTGGCTTTTCTTCTTTTCCTTCCTCACTTTTCATGTTCCTTCACTCTGCTTTCTGGAGTCCTGTTTCACATAAGCCAGTTACACTCAAATTTTTTTGTCAGCTCTGCTTTCAGGTAGTCCCAAATTGAGATAATTTACTCTTTTACTGAAGGTGGGTAAAGCAGGAATCTGAGATTTCCAGAGAATCTCAGGAAATGGACACTCGTCCCAAGTTGGATCTGGGCTTCAAGGAAGGACAGACCATCAAGTTGAGTATTGGGGTGAGTATGGTTTCTTTCCTCCCGCTCCCTGAATTTCCATAATAAGCTTGTGACTTTTTCTTTCTCTTTCTTCTCTGTTTTCTTTTTTATAGAACATTACAACTAAGAAAGGTGGTGCTTCCAAGCCCAAGGCTGTGGGAACTGGGGGCCTGAGCCTGCTCCCGCCCCCACCTGGAGGCAAAGTCACCATCCCCCCACCATCCTCCTCAGTTGCCATCAGCAATCATGTCACTCCACCACCCATTCCAAAATCTAACCATGGAGGTAGTGATGCAGGTAAATCTCTCTGTTACTTTGAACGCAAGACCCTGAGAACAAGAGTTGCACATTGCACCCTCTGAGCCAGCCAGGCGCTCCGTCTCTGTTACTTTTAACTTTGAGAAATCATCTTATCTTTTCTTTTTTTTTTTTAAATTTTTAAATTTTACTTAAATCCAAGTTTAACATGTGGTGTAATGATGATTTCAGGGGTAGAATTTAGTGATTCATCACTTACACATCAAGAAATCATCATATCTTAAGTTTCAGTTGGGTACCGTACCCCTGTTTGCCAAGGAGAGTATTGATGTTTTTGCTATTAAATGACACTTGGTACTGAAAGGTGATTCTGACAGCCTTTAGCAAGGGATTTCAGCTTTTCTATTGAACCGAGAGTCATGGTATTTGGTAGGTTCTTTGTCAGAAAATGAGTGGATATTGGGGCACCTGGGTGGCTCTGTTGATTAAGCATCTGACTCTTGATTTCAGCTCAGCTCTTGATCTCACAGTTGTGAGATTGAGCCCCGCATCAGGCTTCAAGCTGGGTGTGGAACCTGCTTGAGATTCTCCCGCCCGCCCAAAAAAAGAAAATGAGTGGTTATTAAGAAGAAGACTATTTCCTTCATTGTACCTTGGTTAGATGCTAGTAGGCCTGAGAGTCAGATGCACTCAGATTTTGGTGAGAGCTCTGCTTTTTTTTTTTTTTTTTTAATTTTTTTTAACGTTTATTAATTTTTTAGAAGACAGAATATAGTGGGGGAGGGAGCAGAGAGAGAGAGCGCGGGCTTAGGCTCGGCTCTGGATGACACTTACACAAACCCGGCAGGGGCTCGAACCCACGGACCGCGAGATCACGACCGGAGCTGAGGTCGGACGCTCAACCGACTGAGCCACCCAGGCGCCCTGAGCTCTGCTATTTTATATCTGAGTGTACTTGGTAATATTATTTCCTTTTTTTGTCTTAATATCCTTATCTACATAATGGAGACTTAAAACTACACCCAGATTGTGAAGGTGAGGTGGCCTGACGCCACCTAGCACTGTCCATGGCGCAGAGCAGCCACTCAGTAAACGTGATGTTTTCATTTTTCCTGTTTCTTCGCTAGGGCAGCTGGGAGACCGTTAGACAGCATCTGGGTTCGTGAATACATTTTCACTTTTCTGTACCATCTAATGGCAAAAAAGAATAGATCTAGTTCTTTCCATTTCAAGAATGAGAATATTAGGGGTGCCTGGGTTTGACATCGGCTCAGGTTGTGATCTCATAGTTCGTTTGTTCGAGCCCTGTGTCAGGCTCTCTGCTGTCAGTGCAGAGCCTGCCTTGATCCTCTGTAGCCCTCTCTGTCTGCCCCTTCCCCTCTCTCACATGCGTATGTATGTGTGTGCTCTCTCAAAAAATAAACATTAAAAAAAAAATAAAAGAGTGAGAACATTAGAACGTGAAAAGGAATTTTCCTGAGATTATTCATGTAATTGACTACTAAGAGTAAACTTTTTCTTTCTGGAATTTTGAGATAAAAATGGTTGTAACCTACTTCTTTTCATAAGTGTCTCCAGAAGGCACTGGGGGGGATAACGTCTAAGATTTATTTTTAATTTTTTTGAATGAAGCTTTTTATTTTAAGATGATTGTAGGTTCACATGCAGTTGTAAAAAATAACAGAAAGAAATCCTGGGTCCTTTTTACCCATTTTCCCTAAATGGTAACTGTTTGCAAAACCGAAGTGGAACAGCTTAATCAGGAAATTGACATTGATACCGTCTACTGATCTTATGTAGATTTCACGAGCTACACGTGTTCTCATTCGTGTGTGTATATGTGTGTTTAGTTCTCTGCACTCTGATCGTGTTAGGTTCCTGGATCTGTTACCACGGTCAGGATACAGAACAGCTCCCTCAGTGCAAGGATCCCTCACATCATCCTTTTATACCCACACCTCCCCCCGAGTCCTGCCCCACGCCTCCTCTAACCCTTGGCGATCACTAATCTGTTTGCCATCTTTATAATTTTGTCACTTCGTGAATGTTATATAAGTGGAAACATACAGTACATAACCTTTGGGGATTGGCTTTTTCCACTCAGCATAATTCCCTTGAGATTCATCCAAGTTGTGTACATCGGCAGTTTGTTTCTTTTTCTTGCTGGGTAGTATTCCATGGTATGGATGTACCATAGCGCGTTTAACCGTCGTCACCCACGGGGGAACATCTGGCTCATATCCAGTTTTTGGCTCTTGCGGATAAAGCTGCAAGGAACATTTGTGTATAGATTTTGGTGTAAGCGTATGGTTTTATTTCTAAGATTTTTATTATGCTTCCCCTTTTCTTTTTCTTCCGTCTGCCCTGTATTCAGATATCCTTTTAGATTTGGATGCTCCTGCTCCTGTCCCGGCACCAGCACCAGCTCCAGTGTCTGCAAGCAATGACTTGTGGGGAGACTTTAGCACTGCTTCCAGGTAGGAGCATAGTGAAACCAGCATACTGTCAATCAGGGTACAGGGAATGTTACCGTCCAATGAAACGTCTTAGGCAGGAAGTTTAGGTAAGGAAGTAGAGTTAGTGCTGGGGATGGTGGGATAAGAAAGCTGTAGGGTGAAGTCTGACTGGGATGTTTTAAGCCTTGATATGTAGAATTTCCGTGAGGTATAGTTTCAGAAATTCTGGGCAGTGATTTCTTGGAAACTATTAAGTGAAGAATGGAGTAGCTGTCCTAATTCCTTTGGCTTTCTCTCTGTTCTCCTGTCTTGCAGCTCTGTTCCAAACCAGGCACCACAGCCATCCAACTGGGTCCAGTTCTGAATAGCATTAAGGACAGACTTGAAGAAAAAAAAAATGACCTTGAGGGCACCAATCTGTGAGGGAAGTTAGGAACCCCTTCTCTTCCCAGAACCAAAATTACTGGACAATCTTTTTCATAGCTCCTCCATTGCATTCAAGCTGGATCACGTCACCCCCCTGTGTTGTTACTTGCGTACAGCCGAGGAAGAATCTCTCATCTCCTGTTCACTGTTAAGGCAGGGGAGTGGTGGGTCTTCTCATACTTGTGGCTGACTATGCAGGGCCCCAAAGGCCAGATCTCTTTGAGGGAGAAGTGAATTCTAACATCTGTAAAGTTGTTCTTTTCAGTTCTTCAACTTATTTCAGAATCATCTCATGACCCTGTGTGCCTCTTTGTGAAGCCCTATTTAGCAATTTCAGGGGAGACAAAAACCTTGACATTTCCTTTCCCACTAGCCTACGACCCTCCAAATGGACTGGCCAACCTCAGTGTTTACAGATTCAGAGTTTTGACAGGGATAGGTGTGAAGAAAGACCTGTTTCCTGGGTCTCTGAGATAGACCCTCCTGCAGGCTTATCCTGTCCAGTGAACATCCATGGCGGGGGGCAGCTCCATCGCCCTCGTGTGTTTACATTGTTTCCTCCTGTGCTCAGAGGGTTTGTTGGTGGCACCTCCACTGTTCTTTTATTTGTTGAATAGTGCGACATCTTTGATCAGTGGGTGTCTCTTGGATGAAGGAGGTTCAAGGGGCTGTGTTTTCCAAGTTATATTGTAGAGAAGCGTTGACTTTCTTGCAGCTCCATCTGGTGGCTGCATTTGAAGCGCGGCTTTACTTTGCATTTGCCCCATTATTTGACCTGGAGTTGAAGGGTTTAGAGTTTTTAACCTGATCTGTAGAGCAGACGGGTTGAAAAGCACGTAACTCTTTTTCAGTACCCACATTGCCTTGCTGCCTGGGTATCTGGCCCCTTGCGTGAACATTTCGTTTTCAGTGCATCTAGCCCTTTCATAGAAAGCTGCTATTACATACATTGTCACTTATGAAGGAAGCTGGAGAGTCCACGGCCCTAGCCGTCCTGGGTTCTGCCCGAGTGACCGCTTCGCTAAACCATCACAGAGGGTATCTCAAAAGCAAGTTGCTCTCCCACCGCTTTCCCTTCCCTCTAGCCCACCATTCCTTTTACAGTGCTGTGAAGACAGTTCCCTTTCTCAAATGAACGGGCACTATCAGTTGTGTTTGTTAATGGGCAATTTTGAGGGTGAAATGGGAAGATCTCGTCTCTTCCCTCAGCACTTCTTTGGATGTGTACACTTGGGGAGGCTCGTGTTTAGTTTCAAAATGTAGTCTCTCTCCTGGATTTCCTTCTTGACTCTTTTTAACTTTGGGTCCATTTTTTTCTCATTGCCTCCTGTTCCAGGCAGCTCTATTCTTACAGAGCCATGGCAGGGCTTTTTAAAATTCCAATAGAAAACACTAAGTGGAAAGTCTATAGAATCACTAGTGACTGACTACTGGGAAACTATTTTCTCAATCTTCCTCCATGTTGTGTTCTTTGTATTCTCAAGATGATAATATATTATGTATTTGAATTGCTGAAAAACTGAAAATGAAATTTAAGATATATGTATATAAAGCGTATGCTGTATTGGTGCAATAATGGTAATTAAAAATATGGAAAAAGGTAGTGTCTCCTTTATCTTTAATTTGCCTATTTCAGTGCCTTTTTAATTCAACTGACCCAATATAAACGGGCCAGTAGGTAATAAATGGACATTTTATATCTATTACTCTTTTTCAAGAAATAGGGTTTCATTCAGCAGTTCAGGCTAGACTTCGGTACTCATGGTTCTAAACCCACAGAGCACTCCACTCCTTATAGAGATCGTATATATTAATTATTTATTTGCTGGTACAGTTCATTTCTTTTGCTTCAGATTATCTTCATGATCGAGGCCACCACTCACGTCCCAGAACTATAATCAGCATCAGTGAGGGGGATCTGTAAGACATGGAACTAAAGACAGAGTTACAGACTTTGGAAGCCAGAAGGATCTTGGAGTTCTCATTCAGTGCTTTTCACAGAAGGTGAATCAGAATGATACGTGTGCTTGCTTTTTTAAATAAAGTAACACACTGCTCTCTGTAGAGATTCTGATGTACCTCCTAGAGTAGGGCCTAGATGTCTTTCCCACCCACGGCCTTTCTTATCATTACTGAGGTTGTGAGGCACTGTCACTGATAGAAGTGTATCATAAACCTCAGGTTTTGTTTGGGGAAGAAAGTGGACAATCTTTTTGTTTTTTTGTTTTGTTTTGTTTTGTTTTTAGCTCAACCCCCTCAGTTATACATTAGAATCTGCCTTCACAGTTGCAGTGTGAACTTGTATTACTCCACTTCATCCTGATAACCTTCTAGGCAGTTGGCCTGCCTCTAGCTTTCTTTTCTTTTTCTCTAGCTCCAATTCACCTTCCCTGTTGCCACCGGAATCACCTTCCTAAATCAAGCCCTGCCCACGCCCTTTCTTCCCTGACTCATTGTCTTTAATGATTTTCCTTTGCTTAGATCATAAAGTCCAAAGTACCGTTTCATCCTCAACCTTGTTTTCCCTTTCACTCAAAATATGCTCCTGAAACCAGGATACTAGTCATTCTTCAAATGCCATTAGCACCCTGAGCACTGACTGCTTGCTAAAATTCCCTCTGCCTACAATACCTTCCTGCCTATTGAAGTCCTTCCCGTTTCGTAAAGCTGGCGCGAATAATACTTCATGAAATGTCACCTATTCTTTCAGTCTGAAAAATGATCTCCTTTGTTTTGTTTAGGTTGCTGTTGAAATTCTCTAATAACATTACTTTGTAATATTAATTATGCTAATTAATATTAGTTTGTAATTTTAGTTAGAATATTAGTTTTTAAGCTCTTTGAACATAAGGACCATGTCTTCATTTTTATCTACAAACCATACTTCCCTATACTTTGGTGTTATAGTAGATGCTCATTAAATACTTGTCGAATTAACGGTGATTTCAGTGAAGATGGATTAGAAATCAGGAAGTTGGGTATTTTCCTTCTTTTACTCATTCTCAGGGTTGTTCCTAGCTACATGATGTAAGTGTTCTTTGTATGCCTTGTCATAGTTGCAGAAAATCTCATTTATGTGCTCCAAAATCCATCACTATTAGGGAATCAAAAAGGCAGTGATGAAGAAAAATTTTACTTTGGTACATAAACCCTGTGACCTGGGAAAAGAAAAATGGTATTGTAAATAAAGCACAGCTGCGGATACGCTTGGTAATTTACGGTCTCATTTTGATGACCATCACTGTCTTAAGATGACATTGCACTTTGGTTATGTTTTAGTTATCTTGTAGCTTAAAAAAACACACCATTTCTGTTATTGCCTCTTAACTGTGCATGACACACACATACGGTATGTGACTATAGAACTCCCACTGGGGGCAATGGGGTGGCTCAGTTGGTTAAACGTCCGACTCTTGATTTCATCTCAGGGTTTTGAGTTCAAGCCCCATGTTGATGCTAGGTGTGAGGCCTACTTAAAAGAAGAAAAAAAACAAACAACAGCTCCTACTCAAGAGCTCCCCATCAATCACACACATATTCTCTTGAGAAAGAAAGGAAAAATGAGAGTTATCTTGATTTTCAGGTCCCTTAACCCTGGGGGACTTACGTATAGGCTTGTGATTGTTTTGGGCATTTATTTCAGATTTTGCCATTATTGTCATTTTCAGTCCCGTTTTGAAAGATATCAAAGTAGAGCGGTAGTTCGTTTTTTTTGAAAAAGCTCTGGTATAGTTGAATTGGCTACATCTGAGCCAGGAGTAACGTAATTGTCCACAGTGCCCTCCTGTTCTGCCTTATCGGTCTACTCAGTCTAAGCACAGTGTCTAAGCATCAGCTCAGTTAAAAGTCTAAGTCTAAGCATCAGCTCAATTAAAACACAGTAACGCGGAGGGTGCCTGGGGGGCTCAGTCGGTTGAGTGTCCAGCTCTTGATTTTGACTCAGGTCATGGTCTCACAGTTGGTGAGATCGAGCTCCGTGTCCTGCATGGGATTCTCTCTCTCCCTCTCTCTCTGCCCCTCCTCATGCTCTCTCTCTCTCTCTTCCTCTCTCACTCAAAGTAAATAAACATTAAAAAACTCACAATAATGCGTTAAGACCCATTGTGGATTACTTGCTTTTTAATATTTTCTTTTCCCTTACATGTGTTCTGCCACTGAACCTATACTGGGAAAGAATGTCACTGAAGCACTTTCTGTGAATGCTACCTCTGGCTGCATATCAGCGTGGGGCCACTAGAGGGCAAGCTCCCTCTAGCAACTCCAGCAACTGTAGGAAATACTACTCATACATCCTGGTGACGGAAGGTGTTTAAAAAGAAAGACGTACATGAAGACTGTCAAGGGACATATCTATGGAGTCTAACCATGCATTTGATGCATTTGTTGAGAATGTAGAAAGGTAGCTCTTTAGGTAGGCAGAAAATGAAGTACAGAATAATACTTTCTTCAGACTTTAATGGGTAGTAAAGTGTAGTCGTGGTTATGACCATGGATTTGGGAGGGAACAAATTGCCACAGTGCAAAATTTTGCTGTGCCACTTACTTTTTTTTTTTTTTTTTAATGTTTATTTATTTTTGAGAGAGACAGAGCATGAGCAGGGGGAGGGACAGAAAGAGAAGGACACAGAATCCAAAGTGGGCTCCAGGCTTTGAGCTGTCAGCACAGAGCCCAACGTGGGGCTCGAACCCACAAACCATGAAATCATGACCTGAGCCGAAATCAAGAGTCAGACACTTAAACAACTGAGCCACCCAGGCGCCCCATTGGTTTTTTAACTTTGGACAAGTTACTTAACATTTGTTTGCCTTGGTTTATTCATATGTGATATGAATATAATAGTTCCTACTTTATAGAGTTATTGTCACAATAATATTTTTTATTTTTATTTTTTTACTGAAACATTTTTTAGTGTTTTTTTTTTTTTAATACAATTTATTGTCAAGTAATGGCTAACATACAGTATATACA